AAAAGATTGTGTAAGTGTACAATTTTGCTTCAGATGCTTCATAGATTAGATCAATTCAGTTTTCATTTTTGGTGGACTAGTTTTATATCTTCAGCACACAAGGAAACATCTCTTTAACATCTCCCATCTCCATTAAAACCAAGATCATTGTGCAGTTTCTGTGAAATAAGACAATAATTCCACATGATATATGGACTGACCTCTTTTCTTAATTCCTACATTCTTCTTCGTGATCTTTCAACATATTCATAATCTTCCAACAAAGCTAAAATCTATAATCAAACATTGTTATAAGAATACTCAAGTAAGAAAATTATAAAAGTAAAAGAGAATTTCTAAGAAAAGGTTAAATTGGTATTTCATCAGTACTTCTTAACTCATTTTGTCAACTTCTCTATTAGTACTTCATATCACATTAATTAAGAATGTAAATGGTCAAATTCTCTTTTAGTTTTTAACCTATTTCGTCAAATCTTGCATTTAGTACATTGTTTAACTTATAACATGATTTGAGTGCTACTTCTAAACTAAACATCTAATGTATAACCAGTAGGAATTGTACAACAACATATCTAGTGAAATTCCATCAAGTGGGACTGGGGAGATAGAGTGTACGCAAACCTTACCACTACCTCGTGGAGGTAGAGAGACTGTTTCCAAAATACTATCGGCCCAAGTGCATTAAATCCAAGTAAAAGAAGAAGAAAACAATGGAGAAAGCATAATAGTCAATAAGAAAGTATTAAGTCTACAAGAGAGAAACAATAACAACAACAAATACAATGATAATCAAACTACAAAGGTACGACTAGTCCTAAAACATGCATAAAACCTACGCAAGGCAACACAACATACTATCCCTAATAACCTTCTACGCTAATATGCGACCTACACTCCTACCTATCTAAAGTCATGTCCTTGATGATATGAACTTGTACTTTGATCACCTCTCCTCAATCCTTTTCCAGCTTACCCCTACCATTTCACGTAACCCTTATAACCAACCTTTCGCATATCATCACTGAGCCGTCGGCTCCCCTCCTCTACACATATCAAAACTATCTCAGTATCACTTCTCTCATCTTGTATACCACATATGCCACTTCCACCTTCTCCTGGATAACCTCATTCCTAATCTTGTAACTTCTATTATGTCCACACATCTATCTCAATATCCTTATCTCCGCAACATACAACTTCTAAACATGTAATTTCTAGACTGAACAACACTTCATCCATACAACAAGGATGATATAACCACCACTCTATAGAACTTATCTAACCACAAAAAGAGAAAAAAAAGGACTTACATGAATAGAGTGGAGACTTTTGAATCAATACTTTAACTTGAATTCTTCAACTAAAATATAGTATTGTAACAGAAATCTCAAGATTTGAGTCAAATGTTTAGCCTTCAATATCACTAACTACCGCGCTCTACAATAGAAGAATAAAATGTTAGATTTCGACCCCTTTTCCATAGAATAAAAAAGCTAACTGCACAAGTGCATGATACATGTGAATCAAGGCAGCAACAAAAATATCATATCCAGTAAAATTTCACAAGTGAGATTTGGGGAGGGCAGAGTGTATGTAGACCTTATCTCTACCTCATGAAGATAAATATGTTATTTTTCGAAGGACCCTCAACTTGAATACAACAAATCATAGTAGATATAAAAAGAAAATAGATAGTAAGGAAAACATATGAACTAATATGAAAATAGTAACAACAAACTAGTGCAACGACCGAAACACCATAAACAATAGATAATGCCGAATTCAAAAGCAAAACATTAGAAAAATAAACTAATACTATGACAGGCACCACCAAGCCTAAACTCGTCCAAAAGCAAGACAACACTCCATTATCTATTAACCTTCTACCCTGATTCCCGTCCTCCACACCCTTAGATCAGTATGCTAAAGTTGCACCATATCTTATATAATCACATCTCACAGTACTTTTTGGCCTACCTCCACGTCTCATTTTTACCTACAATATCCAACCTACTCATTATAGTATCTACGCATCTCCTCTTCACATGCCTAAATCATCTCAACATCATTTTTTTTTCCATCTTGGCCAGAGGCGGAGCCAGGATTTCAGGCCTATGAATTCTAAATTTTATAAAGGACAACGATCTTAAAAATTACAAAACACAAATTTTGTTAATGAGATGTTAATCGTGTTTGAAAATATTACCTTAGATATTGTTATTGTAAAAACTTGATTTAATAATATAAAGATTTGAGTAATTTATTTTAAAGTTATAAAATATTATTTAAAAAAAATGAATAACTTTTTAAATATAAATTTTGAACATTATTACTATAATCTTCAATATTGTTCTAAGTGAGATTAAAATTATTAGATTCACCATTAATATTTTGGCACCTAAAACATATATTTTATTAGTTTCACTACGACCCTGAACCATTATTGCCTTCAAAAGTTAAAATTTCGAAAAGCAAACAACAACTATTTAACATAATCAATTTGGGATAACCCTAGAATCAAATATTAAAAATTAATTTTTGAATAGATAATCCAACAGTGTAAAAGAAAACAAATAAGAAAAAAAATTGAAAAAGAAGAGGCGAGAGTACATAGTACATACCGGAGGGCAGAGGTCGGATGGTAGCAATCAGATTAACAATAAAAGTTAGAATCCTAACTTTTGAAAATAAATTTGGGTCAAAGTTTTTTGAGTGTCTGAGTAGAAATCAATGATTATATATTGTTTTAGAGTAGGACACAAACACTATTTTTCTGTTTATTTTCATTTACCAATTTTCTGTTTTTTTTTAATAAATAAATAAATAAATATGTAAACCTATGTTATTATCTTTAGGTTAGAAATTAATTCCAAAAACACTTTTAATTTACCAATTTTCTATTTTTTAAAAATTTCTTATATAAACCTACGTATGTTAGAAATTAATTTAAAAATATGGTGCTCAATGGGTTTCGAACCCACGAAGTGCGAGCAGATAGACTTCACTGGGTGCACTAAGATCACTGGGCTACTCGCCTCATTATGCTTGTGGGTTCATAGTAAATTTATATGTGCTTTATATTTGATGTTTTAATACGAATATAGGATCTATGAAAAAGTCAATGGGTTCGTCCGAACCCCCTTCCGATACCGTAGATCCTCCCATGATCTTGGCCACCATGGACGTCACTATCACCTTGGCTCGAATACCCTCATTCCTATTTTTCGCTCCTAATATGCCCATACATCCATCCCATCATCCTTATTTCCGCAATGTGCATCTTCTAAATATGGGAGTTCTCGACTAGCTAACACTCCGCCCCATAGAACAAAGTTTGTCTAGCCACCACTCTGTAGAACTAACCTTAAAATTTAGGTGATACTTTTTTTTAACATAGAAGATTCTGAAAGCTAGACCCATAGAACAAAGTTTGTCTAGCCACCACTCTGTAGAACTTGCCTTAAAGTTTTTTAGGTGATATATTTTTTTTAACACGCAAGATTCGGAAAGCAAGACCCCATAGAACAAAGTTTGTCTAGCCACCACTCTTTAGAACTTACCTTGAAGTTTAGGTGATACTTTTTTTTTTAACATGCAAGACTCCACTTCATCCACGTCACATAATATGTGACATTATCGTCAATGTCCCTAATTACATAGATTAAAGACCCAAATACTTGAAATTATCTCTCTTGGGATATCTTTTGTGTCAAGCCTCACTTCCACTCGCATTGCAGTATTGAATTTACTATTCAATTAATTTGCTTTGTTCTTACTCAACCTAAATCCTTTTGACTCAGGCTAAGTGTTGATCCCCGATGCCACCTCTTCTCAATTGGAAAGTGCTCCCAATCTCCTACCACCGCTCTAGCCTGAGTCTTGTCTCCATAATACATGTTATTCATCACCTTAATGTAAGTCAGTACACCTTTAACCTCCGGACATCTTTAGAGGACTTTCCTCGAAATTTTATTTATAGACTTTTTCAAGATCAATAAACACCATATGTGAATCAAGAAAATGACCTATATAACCCTTGTAATCGTCACAATCAGACACTACTGTTACTCCATTTCAAAATGATTGATAAATTTTATAAAATATTTAGGTTAGAGAAATTATATAATTCGAACCTAATAGTATTGATTTTTTTACAACTTTCTCTTTTCATTATTTCTTCATTTCAAAATGATTGATAAATTTTATAAAAAAAATTAAATTAGTGAAATTCTGCAATTTGAACCTAATAGTATTGACAAGTTCTGTATTTTTATAACTTTTATTATTATTATTATTTTAAAATAACCATTCGATAAACATCGTTACAAACCTATCAAAAACAACAACTCTTTGACAAGCGTCGTTTTTGAGTCATGAGTAATTAACCTTGTTAATGTTACTGAACATTCAGCAGGTTGTGGAAATCCATTGGGTTTTTGCTTCTACATTGTCTTATCACAATTCACAAGAAAATTATTTTTTATATCAAAATAGAATTTTACAACAAGCACATAATGAGTTCAATATCTTAATGACTTTAGTAGACTATTGGCCTGTTTGTCAAGCTTATTTTCTCTCGAAAAGCTTCTTTTTTTTTTATAAAAAAAATGGTTATTTTTAAAAATGAGGTATTTGACCAATTTTTAGAAGAAAATAAGTATTTTTGAAGAGTAGTAGAAGCTATTTTTCATAAGCTATCCTGAAGCTGGAGAAAGTATTTATTCCCTTAAAGCACTTTTCTAATAAGTGCTTTATCAGTGTATCTTATTAAAAATGAGGTGTTTTTAATAAGATACACTGATAAAAACTAGATACATATAAAAGAAAGTATTTATTCCCTTAAAGCACTTTTCTAAAAAATATACTGAAAAATACTTTTAAAAAGCTTGATTAAACACTATTTGCTAATCAAAAGTGTTATTCAAATTTAATGGTCAAACACGAATAAGCTAAAAGAAAGTAATTATTCCCTAAAAGCACTTCTCTACAAAAATATACTTAAAAACACTTTAAAAAAAGCTTGATTATCTAGAAACAAGAAAAGCAGCACCAAAATAAGTTCCAATACCAACGTTTCTATAGAACTTGAACATAAGTTAATTACATACATAAAATCATCTTAAAACAAAGTTTCCCCAAGAGTTGTAAAAGAGAACTTTTCCCAGTAACTATTCCACAAGGGCTACTGCCCTTAGTATCTATACCTGTTGTATCCTGCTCCTAAACTAGAAGATCCATACCCCTCAAAACTCTGAGATGGAAACGAAGATGATGAAGAATAGGGGTCACCATAACGCGAAAAAGATCCAAACTCAGGCTCACGCGTCCCATACATTCTTGGGGCTGGCTCTTTGTGGTTGTTAATGAACTCCTGCACAAAGACAAGTGAATAAACAAGCATAAGCTAGCTGAGTCGTGCTTTTATCAACATTTTTATCCTTTACCATCTTGTTTCTCCCAATGTAACAAATAGAACAAACTACATTTCTAAGAAGAATCAATACTTGTAAAGGTATTGATCATCATCCATACTTGAGATTTCTATACCAAGACCACCTAGAGTTCCTCTTTCCAAACATTTGAATGGAATGCAACAATCGAAACACGCTGACAGTTTAAGACCACAAAGTTCTGCTCTCAACACCAAAACTACCAATAAGTTTTTAACATATTTAGATCTTTGTAATCCAAGGAAAAAGGTCCCAAAGGGAAGAATATAATCTGGTAGAGTACAGACATAAATGAATAACAACACCAGCTAAAGGGCCATGATCGCCTGCTACAGACTTTTATGAAACTACAAATTACTTGTGGCCACAGAATATATAAAGAAAAAAGTGAGGTGCAGGGCGATGGTCTGACCACAAAAGATGAGCTCCATACCTGAATAAGCTGTTCAGCTGCTTGAACCTCTGACGAGGTACCCTTAATCTCGATAGTGATTTCTTCAGGTACTCGGCTCTCTTGCACAGTAAGAGCTGCCCTACTTGTGCGGCGAATATATGCTATATTACCGCCACCAACACCAATGATGTCCTCAGCATACCCCAGCGGTACTTGCATAACCTTTGTGATCTGAGAAGGAAAAAGGATAGAAACAATCCATAGATCAGAGCTGACACCTTGCAGTAAATACATTTAGCTAATGGTCATATTCTTAGGCTAATGACTAAGCAGAAAGAAAGAGCTTCTACAGATTCAAGTTCAAGAGTAGGATACTAATACATATTTAGGAAAGACAGTAGATATTGTAGAAGTTCAGAAAAATTGAATTAAAAATAAATAATTATATGAATCATAAAAACACACTCACGTGCACAATGCTCATGCAAAAACTGAAAACAACCCCACTCCAGGACATACCCTCTCTCAAAGGAAAAAAGAATATGTAGAGCAAGAAAGAAAAGAGAACACAACTACAATGATTCCAATTAAAAACTAACTCTCCCCGAGATTTTCTTTTTCGTTAACGGTGATATCAAAGACAACTCACACCTACTTCAACTTATGTACCGGATACCTTCAAACTTCCACCAAAGCAATAGAGAAGTTGCATACGTTGTGAATCGAACCTAGAATAACAAAGTAGTCACTCCAACTCTTCGACAGTTGGGTCACCTCGGAGACTCTCCACAAACAGCAATATTTAGGTAACAAAAGAAGTCCAGATCAAGCTACGGTTGAAGTCTCTACATGTAGGACAATAAATACACGGGGTCTTCTTTTGTTCAATATAATTACTCAAAGTAATGTTATAGCCTATTAGCCTGTTCCCAATAATACTCAACAGCTTGAACAATTTTTTTCATGTCTTAAATTTCAAGCCTCACAACTCCAAACCATTTTATCCCAAAACAGTCACCGTGAGATGAATTTACTGTTATAAGAATCTATCAAGTTAACAAAGGCGAAAAGTATATAAAAGTGCAAAAGTCTGTTCAGGCTTCAAGTGTGAAGTGCTACTATAATACACGTTCAGCACAGGAAGCGCAAATGAATAAATAATAAAACTATACATGTAATGCAAGACAAGAAATAAACAGAAAGTACTACTATATGAACAAAAAAGTTGAATGATTAAGATGAAATATAGCTCATGTCAATTAAGTTCAAAAGGCATATTTCTTTTACTAAACTTCTCATTCATAGTCACAAATACATGGATCCGTGATATTTACTTTTTTTTCCAAATCAATCCCTTTAATAACCATATAGATTATGTTATGTTCACAAGAGGGCACACATGGGCAATGAGGCGTACACCTTAGCACCTTAATGCCCAATGTTTAAATGCTACCTAACCAGCACAAAACACCTTGCTTACATAACATTATTTTCAGTAGAAATATTGATTCTCCACAACAAAATGAGACCAACTTAAACCACAGTGAAGCCATAAATTTCATGACTGGCAGAAAATGGAGACATAAAGTATCCATAAACTGACCTGTGTAACTATAGGACCAGCTCGGCCAGCCACAGAAGTATGTATGCCGCCAAGTCGAGGATCCTGTCCATATCGCGGTAGTGTAGACCGCGGGAGTTCGGAGTCCATGGCAGTTTCACAATCAAGTAAGTAAGGGTCTCGGCTCATGGAGAAGGAATAACCAGAAACTGCTGCAGCATGGGATGCAGGTGCAGGACCAGAAGGCTGAAACTTTGAGGACTGCGGTTTATCAGCCCAGGACTCCGCTAGCCGATCTTGAGAGATATTTACATTGTACTGGCAATAGAACACGTACTTAGTAAAAACACAATTAGACAATTAAGCTTTGGTCAAAAGTATCAAACTTACCATCTTTTCAATTACAGGTATCATACTATGATCGACCAAAAACTTTCTCAGTAGTCTAACTACTGCCTCAAAAGCATCAAGCACCTTCAAACCTTCTCCATGAATTTCGATAATTCTTTCATCTTCAGTGGCATAAGGGGCCACATCATCTGTGAAATTCAGAAATTATTAGATGTTACCACATGACTGAATGTTCCGTGTCACACCATAAGAGCAATCTCACCTGCAGATAAGACTCTCAGGGCAGCACCCGATCTTTCCTGTATTGATTTGATCGTAGTACCACGTCTACCAATCAAATGATTGGCTTGTGATGAAGCCACCAATAACCTTGAAAAGCAGAATGCAGCACCAGCAGCTCCTGCTCCTGGATCATCATTGTTTAGCCCGGCAACGCGCTTGAAAATTCTTAAAGCAGCATCCATTGCTGGAGATACCTCAGCATCTGGATTTTCTCTACCAGATATTAGGACCTGAAAAACATATGAAGGAAGTCAGCAAGAAATATAAAATAATATGATTTGAACATATCAAAAAGGCAAAATAAACAATGAAAGAAGAAGCAACATAAAATAATATGATTCCAGACCTACCAAAAAGAAAAAAAATAAACAAACCCTAAGAGGTGTCAGATTAGAACTGACTACCAACTAGAGGTTCCCCTACTCGAAGGCAATTGCGAGAGTGAATCTTAACTCATCTCAGGGAGAAAAAACACCATAAAATGTTTTATGAGGCAGAGAGGGAAGCCTTTAAGGTTAAGGCCTACACCTCAAGCATTCAGATACACACTTTTTAAGCCTTTTGGGTCTATTTTAAGTGATGGATTACAACTAACCCTGGAAAGAGGACCCAATGTAACTTCATAGCATTTAGCAAAGATTTAAAAAATAGATGTTTTTCCCCTAAATCAATAGTTTATACATTAAAAATGCAACTCAAGCAAAAAACCAACTAGCAGTATAATCTCAAGAGATACAAATTCATTTCAACTCAAATGTTCACACAAGTTCTTGATGGAATTTACTGTTCCATCACAACAATCTATGTTTATACACAAAAAAATAAAAAAGACAAACTTCAAGTAAATTTTAAACATAAAACAACGCAAAAAAATACTCTTTTTACCAATCAGAAACATCCAAATTCAAACAACAATCACAAAGAATAACAAAAACCCAAAAAAGAAACAAAAATCAAACGAATTATCAAAAATTACTCAATCCAAAACTTACGATTCGATCAGCATTGCCAAGAGGGCCTTCCAGAACACGAATGCTGGCGCCAGTCTCTTCACACATCCTCTTTACAAGTTCGCCCCTCCGCCCAATTATACCACCAACTTTCGCAAGTGGCACAACTAGCCTGAACACGTTATCCCCCGGCCATCCCGGCCATTTCTGCACAATCGCAACCGATTCCCCAGCAGCCTCTGGTCTAACAGCAACCATTTCAGTAGCAACCGAACCTGTAACCCCAGATTTTACAGCAAACGACTCCGGCGGCGGCGGCGCCACCGCAGATGAGCCTTGAATGGCCGGTGGAAATGATGAATCAGTTACAGTAGAGTACACCATTGATGAGTTCAGAGAAAACAGAGTAAAAGAGTTTTTCAGTGAAATTTTGCTGAAGGGTTTGGTTTTAAGCGAAAAATGGGAAGAGGTGTCTTAATATAACGGCTTGGAGTTACTTTCTAAAAAAAACTTTCATTGTGTAATTTTCCAATTTTGTATAAATAATTAGGGTTTATTTACGAAATTATAATATGAAATCATAATATAAAACATATATTATTAAGTAATAAAAAGCATAGGTTTATTCGTTTTAATTCTTTTGGTAAGTCGGTGTTGAGAGACTTACCGTTATTAGTTTTAAAATTTTGTTGGGTTTATGAACGACTTAACATTATTGCTATTTTGAAAAACCGTTTATACATCCTTTATTAATTTTGATAAGTCGCTCAAAGTTTATCCATTCTGGATGAATGGATACTTATTTTTTATACAACTAAAACGGGTAATTCGTTGGAGTTGAGCGACATGTCGGAATTATTAATGGTTGTCTGTCAAACGACCGCTTATTCGGTTTAATTATTTTTTTGGTAAGTCAGCGTTGAGGGACTTACCGTTATTATTTTTAAATATTCGTTGGGTTTATGAACGACTTAACATTATTGCTATTTTGAAAAAATGTTGGATTTTGAAAAATCATTTATACATCCGTTATTAATTTTGACAAGTCACTCAAAGTTTATCCATTCTGATATAAAAATAATAAGGAAAATCAATTGTTTATAAAAAAAAAAGTGTACTAATAAAATTAATTATGCTCGTTTCAATGATTGAAATAACAATTGTCTGAAGTTTATCAAGCTTTTTTAAAAAAAATTCCATAGTTTTTAATTAACCAAACAAAAAATTTCGAATTCGTAAAGAAATAATAATTCGCGAGTACATTGATAAATAGCCGAGAGCTTGAAATCTAAAGTCAAAAGGATCACTTTTTTCTTATATAAAAATGGATAAACATACACTTATTTTTTATACAACTAAAATCTATATAATTCGTTAGAGTTGAGCAACTTGTTAAAACTAATAACGGTAATTATTTTTTAAAATTTGGAATTTAGAGGATTTCAGTTATTAGAACGAGAACATAATTACTTTTTTAGGGTTTATTTACGAAATTATAATATGAAATCATGATATAAAAAAAAATAAAAATAAATAAATAATATATATATATATATATATATATTATAAGTAATAAAAAACATAGGTTTGATATAAAAATAACAAGAAAAATAAATTATCAAAACAAAAAAAAAAGTAATTATATTCTCGTTCTAATAACTGAAATAACGATAATATGAAATTTATAGAGTTTTTTTTGAATTTTTTTCCATATTGTTTAATTAACTGGACAAAAATGTTGAATACGTTAAAAAATAATAATTTCGCACGCACATAAATAGTCATGAGTTTTGGAATCTGAAGTTAGAAGGTTCACTATCTTATCTGAAATGGATAAATGGATATTTACTTTTTATACGATAAAACGGATAATTTGTTAGAGTTGAGCGACCTGTCGGATTATTAACAACTGTCAAACGACCGTTTATTCGTTTTAATTTTTTTTGGTAAGTTGACGTTGAGAGACTTGCCGTTATTAATTTTAAAAAATCGTTGGGTTTATGAACGATTAAACATTATTTCTATTTTAAAAAACCGTAGGATTTTAAATAAACCGTTTATACAACGGCTATTAATTTTGACAAGTCGGTCAAAGTTTATCCATTTTGATATAAAAATAATAAGGAAAATTAATTATTTATCAAAAACCAAAAAAAGTAATTATGTTCTTGTTTCAATGATTGAAATAACAATTGTCTGAAGTTTAGCAAGCTTTTTTTTTTTAAAATCCATATTTTTTAATTAACTAAACAAAAAGTTTCGAATACGTCAAGAAATATTAATTTGCGAGTACATTAATAAATAGTCGGGAGCTTGAAATCTAAAGTCAAAAGGATCACTTTTTCTTATATAAAAATGGATAAACAAACACTTATTTTTATACGACTAAAATTGATATAATTCATTAGAGTTGAGCAACTTGTTAAAACTAATAACGGTAATTATTCTTTAAAAATTTGGCATTGAGAAAATTTCAATTAATAGAACGAGAACATAATTACTTTTATTAGGGTTTATTTACGAAATTATAATATGAAATCATGATATAAAATATATATATATATATATATATATATATATATATATATATATATATATATTATTATTATTATTATTATTATTATTAAGTAATAAAAAGCTTAGGTTTGATATAAAAATAACAAGAAAAATAAATTATCAAAAAAAAAAAGTGTACTACTAAAAGTAATTATGTTATCGTTCTAATAACTGAAATAACGATAATATGAAATTTATAGAGTTTTTTGAATTTTTTTCCATATAGTTTAATTAACTGGACGAAAATGTTGAATAAGTTAAAAAATAATAATCTCGCACGCACATAAATAGTCGTGAGTTATGGAATCTGAAGTTAGAAGGTTCACTATCTTATCTGGAATGGATATTTACTTTTTATACGACAAAACGGATAATTCGTTAAAATTGAGCAACATGTCGGATTATTAACAGCTGTCAAACGACTGTTTATTCGTTTTAATATTTTTTGGTAAACCGGCGTTGAGAAACCTGCCATTATTAATTTAAAAAATCGTTGGGTTTATGAATGACTTAACATTATTGCTATTTTGAAAGACCGTTGGATTTTAAAAAATCGTTTATACATCCGTTAATAATTTTGACAAGTCGCTCAAAGTTTATCCATTTTGATATAAAAATAATAAGGAAAATCAATTATTTATCAAAAACCCAAAAAAATGTACTAATAAAAGTAATTTTGTTCTCGTTTCAATAATTGAAATAACAATTGTCTAAAGTTTATCAAGCTTTTATTGAAAAAAATCCATATTTTTTAATTAACTGAACAAAAAATTTCTATTACGTCAAGACATAATAATTTGCGAGTACATTGATAAATAGTCGGGAGCTTGAAATCTAAAGTCAAAAGGATCACTTTTTCTTATATAAAAATGGATAAATAAACACTTATTTTTATACGACTAAAATCGATATAATTCGTTAGAGTTGAGCAACTTGTTAAAACTAATAATGGTAATTATTTTTTTAAAATTTGGCATTGAGAAAATTTCAGTTAATAGAACGAGAACATAATTACTTTTATTAGGGTTTATTTACGAAATTATAATATGAAATCATGATATTAAAAAAATATATAAAAAAAATTTTAAAAAATATTATTATTATTATTATTAAGTAATAAAAAGCTTAGGTTTGATAGAAAAATAACAAGAAAAATAAATTATCAAAAAAAAAAGTGTACTACTAAAAGTAATTATGTTATCGTTCTAATAACTGAAATAACGATAATATGAAATTTATAGAGTTTTTTTGAAATTTTTTCCATATTGTTTAATTAACTGGACGAAAATGTTGAATAAGTTAAAAAATAATAATCCCGCACGCACATAAATAATCGTGAGTTATGGAATCTGAAGTTAGAAGGTTCACTATCTTATCTGGAATGGATAAATACTTTTTATATGACAAAACGGATAATTCGTTAGAGTTGAGCAACATGTCGAATTATTTACAGCTGTCAAACGACCGTTTATTCGTTTTAATTTTTTTTGGTAAACTGGCGTTGAGAAACTTGCCATTATTAATTTAAAAAATCGTTGGGTTTATGAATGACTTAACATTATTGCTATTTTGAAAGACCGTTGGATTTTAAAAAACCGTTTATATAGCCGTTAATAATTTTGACAAGTCGCTCAAAGTTTATCCATTTTGATATAAAAATAATAAGGAAAATCAATTATTTATCAAAAACCCAAAAAAATGTACTAATAAAAGTAATTATGTTCTCGTTTCAATAATTGAAATAACAATTGTCTAAAGTTTATCAAGCTTTTTTTGAAAAAAATCCAAATTTTTTAAATAACTGAACAAAAAATTTCAAATACGTCAAGACATAATAATTTGCGAGTACATTGATAAATAGTCGGGAGCTTGAAATCTGAAGTCAAAAGGATCACTTTTTCTTATATAATAAAAATGGATAAACAAACACTTATTTTTTATACGACTAAAATCGATATAATTCGTTAGAGTTGCGAAACTAGTTAAAACTAATAACGGTAATTATTTTTCAAAATTCTCCATTGAGAAGTTTTCACTTATTAGAACGAGAACATAATTACTTTTATTAGGGTTTATTTAAAAAATTATAATATGAAATTATGATATAAAATATATATATTATTAAGAAATAAAAAGCATAGGTGTGATATAAAAATAACAAGAAAAATAAATTATCAAAAAAAAAGTACTAATAAACTAATTATGTTCTCGTTCTAATAACTGAAATAACGATAATATAAAATTTTTAGAGTTTTTTTAAAAAAAATTTATATTATTTAATTAATTGGACAATAATGCCAAATACGTTAAAAAATAATAATTTCGCACGCACATAAATAGGCGTGAGTCATGAAATTTGAAGTTAGAAGGTTCACTATCTTATCTGAAATGGATAAATGGATATTTACTTTTTATACGACAAAACGAATAATTCGTTGGAGTTGAACGACCTGTCGGATTATTAACAGCTGTCAAACTACCGTTTATTTGTTTTGATTTCTTTAGGTAAGTCGGCGTTGAGAGATTTGCCATTATTAATTTTAAAAAATTGTTGGGTTTCTCAACGACTTAACATTATTGCTATTTTGAAAATCCTTTGGATTTTAAAAAACCGTTTATACATCTGTTATTAATTTTGACATGTCGCTCAAAGTTTATTCATTTTGTAATAAAAAATAATAGGAAAAATCAATTATTTATCAAAAACCAAAAAAGTGTACTAATAAAAGTAATTATGTTCTCGTTTCAATAATTGAAATAACAATTGTCTGAAGTTTATCAAGTTTTTTTTTAAAAAAAAATCTATATTTTTTAATTGACTGAACAAAATTTTTTGAAT